ATTTCTTATTTATCTGGTTGCATGTTAGCTTCGTTGCTTATTTCTGATTGTGTTGGGTTGTGGTACCTGTTGGCTGTTTGGTTGTGTTGAGTTCAGTTGTCTGATCTTTTGGACTGTTGGTTATGTTTGCTGTTTTTGACTATGTTGGCTTCATGTATGTGTTGGTGATATTTTCTGATATGTTGGCTTGTTAGAATATGCTGGCTTGTTGGACATGATTTGCTGGCCTGGTAATTGTTGCTGAATGCTGCATGTTTTGGTTTCATTGGCTTCTATGGTTGGGTTGGTGTTGACAAAATGACATATGGTGCCTATGGGGGTTTGATTGATGAATGATGAGGCTGCTGTGTCATTTATTTTTTAAAGTTGGCATGGTTATACCTTACAGTGTTCTCAATGATCATTTGGGTAGAGAACACATGTCAGTCCCTTACTGTTTTTACACATTTTTTAAAGGAGTCCCCTTTGAATATTTGTTGTAGCCTGATTTGTATTGAGTCCCCCATTTTACTGTGTTGTTTTCCTTATCCAAATCCAAATGATGAAGGGACTCCATTGAATTTCACTACACACAAGTGTTTTGCTCCAACAATTTGTTTAATGTTGTTGTTGTTGAGGTAACCTTGTGACTTAGTGTTGTATTCTACAATGACATACAAAGCTTCTGACAGATTGAGTGCCCACATAACATCTGATTCTTTTCCATTTCTATTCCATTCAAAATGTGGGTACAAAAGGACTATACCTTCAGCAAAAGCCTTTACATAAGACTGCCTAACATGTTTGCATCAATGTACTCAACAAAATACACCTAACCACCTAATAAGTGAATAAAAAAAACAAAAAAACCCTAACAGAGCTAAGTGGTTATGTGTGGCAGTCCATGTGTTTCTCCATTGTTGTGATGAGTCCCCTAGTCTGCATCTACCTCCATATCTTCTGTTGCTTGTTCAGTCCCTTGATTTGCTGGCCTATACATAGTGTTTAGGTACTCCACAGCCTCCATAACTACTTCCTTCTGCACTTCTACTTGATTTGGCAAAATGCCAAGATTTTTAAGTTTTTTATTGTTCATGTGGGGTATTTTGTACTTGTTCCCACCTTCTGAGGATCTTTATCATGCAATTTTGCAAAGTCAGCCAAATGCACTTGTTCACTTGAGGATTGAATGTGCCATAAGAGTCCATCACTTTTGTAACTAGCTCATCTAGGTTGCTAGGAAAAGACTGATATTGCAAAGATTAAATAGACCTAAATAACCCTAAATCAAGCACATTCAAATCTGGTGACTGTGCTGGCTGAAAAACAAATTGAATGTTGAACTCATTTGCTGTTGTTGCTACCATAAACTCTGCATCCTTAGAAACTTGGTGAGGCCTTGCATCGTCCCATTGGATGACAACATTTTTGGCCAGATTCTCAGGCCACTTTGAGATAATTGTTGGTATGACATTTGTCAGCAACATATCTGTAATCACTTATCTATTTACATTCTGGATTGCCTTGGTTTCCCAAGTTCCTGCTACTCTGTTTTTGCTGGATTTCTTTGCTAGTTGTTTGACAGTGAATGGAAATATGCCATACTTCCCATCATGGAGTAGTTCCCCATTTGTGTCATACAATAGGTTCCCAATTAAGGCCATAAACATTGCCTTGAGCTTGAATCTTTTGGACTGTATATGCCCTGTATGGATCTTCCTCACTTGGTAGGAGATAAAACCTCCTCTTATCAGGGTTCAGATGGAACCATTTCTCATCCATGTGTATGACATGGTTCATATCAACAAATGTGGGGTCCTCATTACCTGTAATTGGATTAATATGTGACAAAACCCATTTGAGTCTGGCTACCTTGTGGTCTGATGACAATGTTGGCTTGTTGCTGCTTGTGTGTGTTCTTAGCCTTCCCTTTTTCTTCAAATGGTGAAGATCAGAGTAACATGAGGGATCTTCAATGCTGCTGCATAACTCCTTTCCGTCTGCCTTAAATGCAAAGGGACTGACTGTGGAATTCATCAGAAAATTCCATTGGCTTTCGACCTGCTCTGCCATACTTCTTAGTCCTGACATCAATCAAATTCCCTTGTGCCATCTGTTTTTTTTTGTGTCTGTGAATATTCTTGTGATGGTTGATTTATGAACATTGAATTGAACTGACAAAAATTTCATGTGACCCCTTGGTAAGTTCCCCTCACGCATTTTGACCAACATTGCATCAATAATTTCTCTTTTCTTTTGTATGGTGAGCTGCTTTCTTTGTGTAAGTTGAGTCCCATGTTCAATTGGTTGTTCCATTTCTGGGGAATCAACCTCAGCTTGTGTGTTTTGTTGGCCATGTTCTTCTCCTTGTGTGTCTTGCGTGTTCTCATCTTCAGATCTGTACTCCTCCAAGCCTAGATCTTGCATATCTTCTTCATGGTCATAGTACAATTCTGCAAGCTCTTCTTCTGTTAGTATTTGATCAAAATCGAAAAACAAAGCTTCAACAAATTCTGCCATGTGTTGTCTGAGCTCGATGATGTAGGGGTGGGTGCTGTTTTTTTTTGGAGGAGATGAAGGATGCAAGGAGATGCAACTTATGAACATTTATGATGTGCAACACTAATTTCAGTTTAGGGTTTTTTTTTGGGTATTTAGTGGGCTAATCATGTGTAATTAGTGCTAACTTTTGGATGAACAAATTCTTTTTTTGAGGAAACTCTAACTTTGTAACTATTGAATGTGTATGAATGGTGGAGGCTGGTATTTAAATGCCTCTTAAATGCTGAATGGAGGCTTTAAATGTATGCCTCAAAAAAATTTGAAGTTGTGCTAAATTTTTTTTTAAAAATAGGAGGGAACCCAAATTTTCACCAAAATTCAACTAATTCGATTTTTTGGTGAAAATTTGGAGGGAAATCAAATCCCTCCAAAAACTGCCAGAATTTCCTCACCAACTTTGCAAGTGGGCGGGCCTACTTTCTCTCTCCTATCACTTTAATTAACTTCGTTTACTTCCTCTAATATTTGCCCCTCAAGTTTTGCCTCGTGAACCGTAAAGCTTACCAAAGTTGCACATAAATATTAACGGAGGTATTATTTGGAATAAAATATTTCTGGGGATTAAAATATTACCAAATCATGCATATAAGATGATTATTAGGGTTTTTGTTTTTTTTATTGGAAAACTAAAACTTGTGTTAAGGTTTAAGCTTACTTCAAGGTTGGTCTAAAAAATTAATCTAATTAAATTTATGATTTTCATAGTTGGCTGCGTTGTTAAATTTTAATTTCTAAACACAATTCAACTATTGAATTAAGCAATTATCTAGAAATAAAGGTTAATTTTGACTAAATGCGGATTGGTGTGAAATTGACACAATGTTTGTTGAATTTGTTATGTGTTTAGAGAATGTAGGTTTCAGTATACAAGTAATCATTTATGGATGGATGCTCTAATTGAACCTGCTTATACCATACATGGATGCAATACCCGAGTCAAGCTCGAATTTTCCATTTGTTTTTGGTCGAGTTTGTGTGCAAATTCCTTATTAGATTACTTTTTTCGATTTATACCTTACGTTTCCGAGTATTAAAAACAGCACCTTGATTATATCTTCCGACGAAAAAAGTCAGTTTTCCGATCATAGGATCCATTTTCCCGTTAGTATTTTGCCCTTGTTATATACACTATACCAGGATACACAAAATCTCAAGAGTGTTCTCCTATCTTGCTTGTTCTTGGTTATTAGGTGCCAAATGCTAAAGTTTGCGGGAGATTTTGCTGCCATTTGACTAGGGCCGTGTATGTGAGAAAAATCAAGTTTATAAGTCCGATATACAAAAAAGGGGATAGTATGGTCATTTCTAGTAATAAACGAGGGGTAGCTCAGATTACCTATAAATGAAGAGTAGCTTTGTAATTGCATCTATTTTTTTTATTTAAAAGGTTGCATCAGCCTGATTAATTGGATGCTCTTTGTTTTTTTTTTTTTTTTTTTTTTTCTTTGACGTCAAACAACTAAAATGCATATGTTTGGTTAATAACTTTTTGTTTGAATTTAAGCCAAAATGAAAAAGCTAGTCCCGCTTAAGAGAAAAAAAAAAAAGGATATTGTTGTTCCAATGTTCGTAACTACCTCCGGTTGTCTTGTTTATTTGGGTAGTCTTTCTCTTTCTTTACCTGTTGAAATTCTTAAAGAATGTATAGTACATATAAACTAAATATGCTTTTTATAATCATCCTTTTATTTTATGGGAGAAGATTTGCAATATTTTTTTTTTTTTTTTTTTTTGAAGCAATTTGCAATATTTTATCTTTATCAAAACAATTTTACTTATTGACATGTTGTCTGATCAACTAATTCTTGATTGTTAAGTCAAAAGCAATAAAAGGGGTCATAAATGCAAGTACCTATTTTCTCTTGTATTCTTGTGTATTTATGGAGTGCAACACAATCAAACTATCCTTACTGTACTAAAAATATAAGACTAGTACACAATGGTTGACTGGCCAAATAAAATATACATTTCAACATGTGCTTTGAATCCCACTTGACAGAATCATAGCATGATAATTAATTTTCATTTATAGCCCATCCTTTTCCTCAACTACATGATCAAATCGTTTTTTTTTTTTTTTTCTGCCCCATACTTCCTCTATCTACTATTCTACTCCCATTTAAGCAGAACTTTTGAACATTCTACTGAGGATTAATTGTCATTTTCGGTGTTTAACCTCGCACTAAATTTTAACTAGTAGAGCTTCATTGGAAGTTTCACAGTAGAAAAAATGGGTCCTACACTAAGGTTGTTGGGTGACAAGTTATTTCACCTCTTTGGCTCATTCTTAATTGGCAAAATTTTCAATAATTACAAGTTCATAATGGAGTGTCAAAGTTTCTTATTAGTTTTAATTTGACTTACAAATTTTGGAATGTTGAATAAGTTAATAGAATTGACCAAATCATGGCATGTGTTTGGCATTATATCCTCTGCCTCGAAGAAGAGGCCCACATCTTACAACGATGCAAAATTGTGAAATTCTGTACAAAAATATCTGTTAAAAGGTGGCCAGCAGTGGGTCTAACATGGTTGAAAAATCTGAATTATTTGCATTTGTTATGCTGGATTTGGTAGTTGATTCACTTGATTGTGGTGGTTCATATGCGAAAATTGGGCTACAAGTTTTCATGAGTTTTACGTGCTATTTGAGTAAATATCCCCCTTTTCTTCTGAATGAATTAATTCCATTGTCTCCTGCAAACAACAGTGTGCAAGATGACAGCCCCCTCATATGGCTTTTTTCTTCTTTTCTGGCTACTCCTGAATTTGATCGTAACTGCCTCCACTGCTCAGGACACTATTACAGCAAAGCAGCCTCTCCATGATGGTAAGACCTTAGTTTCTGCAAATGGGAACTTCGAGTTAGGATTCTTCAGTCCTGGTAGTAGCACAAGCAGATATGTAGGAATCTGGTTTAAGAAAATCCCAGTTCCATCTGTTGTTTGGGTTGCAAATCGAAACTTTGCTCTTCCTGATTCCTCTGGTGTTCTTCAGTTCAACAATAAATCTGTTTTGGTACTTGTGAATGGCACGGGAGGATTTGTCTGGTCTACTAATTCATCGAGATCAGTGTTGAATCCAGTTGCACAACTTTTGGATTCAGGAAACCTTGTTGTCAGAGACCAGAAAGATGGGAATCTTGAGAATGTGTTGTGGCAAAGTTTTGATTATCCCTGCGATTCCCAGTTACCAGGAATGAAGTTGGGAAGAGACCTTGCTACTGGGTTTGACAGGTTCCTTACTTCCTGGAAAAGCAGTGATGATCCTTCCCCAGGTAGCTATACATATCGGATTGATCCTCAAGGATACCCACAACCGTTCCTTCTGAAAGACGGCGTTGTGCAGTTTCGTGATGGTCCGTGGAATGGTGTTTGGTTTTCTGGTACTGCCAGGTTGCCTACTGATTCGACTCAGGTATATAAATTTGTGTTCAATAACAGGGAGGTGTCGTATGTCTACGAGCTCATCAACATCTCAATCATCACTAACAGAATTGTAAATCCCTATGGAAATATTCAACGTCAAGAGTGGAATAATCATACACAAGGGTGGGCAACATTCTACTCAAAACCAATTGATAATTGTGATACTTATGGGGTGTGTGGTGTGTTTAGTAGTTGTAACCTTGTAAGATCTCCTCAATGTCAATGCATGAAAGGATTTGTGCCCAATTCCTCCACAGAGTGGAATGCAGGGAATTGGATTGATGGGTGTGTTCGTGGTGCTTCGTTGAATTGCAGTGTCAGTGACGGGTTCGTCAAGTATGCCAATGTTAAGCTGCCTGATACAAGATACTCCTGGCATAACCAGACAATGACTCTTGATGAGTGCAGGGTCAAATGCTTGCAAAACTGCTCTTGTGTGGCTTATGCTAATATAGATGTAACCAATGGAGGAAGTGGCTGCTTCTTGTGGATTGATACCGTGATTGACGTGAAAGTTATACCTGGTTCAGGTCAAGATCTTTATGTCAAGGTGCCATCTTCTGAGTTGGGTAAGAACCTTTTTGTGGTTTTTTATTATTAGCATACTATCATCATTTGACTGCTACTTTACTATCTCTAAGCCGACAAAATCTGTTCAATTCCTAAATGTACTAACCTTTACAAGATTAATATGGGTTTCATGAATATGAATTTTTTTGTTATTTTTCTGTGCTGACTTGAGCTGTTGAAGACTTAACTCAAACCTTTTATCATTTTATGTATGTGTAGGAGGTAATAGGAAAAAACGGGTATGGATTGCTATAATTTCCAGTTTTTTTGCTGTTATGTCTCTCTGTGGAGTTGCACTTTTTATTGTGTGGAGAAGGAGGCGGAAGAGAGCAGGTATGCTAATTTCTGTTTCATGTTTCTACTGCTATTATTCCCTTCTAAACTATGGTTTAATCATTGTTTTGGGGGTTAGAAGATAACTCTTTCTGTCTTCTGGATTGTAGTTCATTGCACCCTAAGATTAGGAGCTACTCTGTCTCTATCTTATGAACCTAAATCACGTGTTTTTTGTTTATTGATATGCTATGTTCTTGCAGAAAAATACATTGCTAGTAGAAGATTCACCATCAATAACAACCGTGAAGGAGATTCTGAGCTGCCAATATATGCTTTTGATGTGATTGCCAAAGCTACAAACCATTTTTCCTTTTCTAACAAACTTGGAGAGGGTGGCTTTGGACCGGTATACAAGGTTAATTTAATCTCTACTTATTTATTTTCTTTCAAGGCTTCCATTAACTTTCATTGATGGTGTTGTTACCATCTTTCAGAATCACATTAAAGATGCATTGGGTAAAACTTTTTGAACAGTGATGCAGATGATGTAGTAAAGAGGAAAATTCATGTGATTCTTGCTCATAGTACTTTTTTTCTTTTCTTGGAGTTAGTTGGAGGTGAATAGTTTAAAATCTGAATGTAGTTTAATATGTTGATTGGAGTTTGACTTAATACTTACAACGAGCAGTAATTTACCTGCATGTCCAGCAAGAGTAGAGGATTGGCCATCCTGTTCTTGCTTCTGGGTTTTGGCCATAAGAAAACTGATTCTGAAAGTATTTTATGGCTAGTAATTCACAGTTCCATTGTTTGAGAGAATGCTCAAGTCTAGAGACGAAGTCAATATGCTCTGACAATTTGAAAGCTGTAGTAGGGCTTTCTGTGTCTCAATTAAAGGCATACTGTCACATCATTAGCATTATAACAACAGGAACAATCACGTTCACTCTAGGAGTTTTTTTTTTTAATTGTCTCTTAATAATTGTTAGGGAGTGCTGAGCGATGGACAAGAAATAGCTGTGAAAAGGCTCTCTAAGGATTCAAGACAAGGACTGGACGAATTCAAAAATGAGGTTATATTCATTGCAAAGCTTCAGCATCGAAATCTTGTGAAACTTATGGGATGTTGCATTGAAGCAGATGAGCGGTTGCTTATCTATGAATATATGCCCAAGAAAAGTTTGGATTGCTATGTCTATGGTATGGCTTACTTTAATTATTGACCATATTTTTGAGTTTAATTTGTTTTGAGGATAATGTAATTAGTTTTGCAACAGTGATGTAAATTACTTGTATAAAAAAAATTCAAAATTTTATGCCTTGTCTAGAGTGGAGTTCTTCAATGAAAAATTTAATCCAAGTAAAATATAGTTTGGCTAGTTACACACTTGCATATCCTTAGCAACAGAAGCTTACAGTCATACTTTATGGGCAGATCCAACAAGCATTGACTTACTAGATTGGCCAAAGCGCTTAGAGATCATCATGGGAATTGCTCGTGGACTTCTATATCTTCATCAAGATTCTAGACTGAGAATTGTTCATCGAGACCTCAAAGCGAGCAATATTTTACTAGATTTTCAGATGAATCCCAAAATTTCTGATTTTGGCCTGGCTAGATCTTTCATTGGAAACGAAGATGAGGCAAAAACAAAGCGAGTAGTTGGAACATAGTAATATTCTAATCTCATTTGCTCTTTTGCCTCTCTCCTTGACAGTTTCCTGATAATTTGCTAATTTTTTTTCAGTGGTTACATGCCTCCTGAATACACTATCGACGGTTATTTTCAGTGAAGTCTGATGTCTACAGCTTTGGAGTATTAGTACTTGAGATAGTGAGTGGCAAGAAAAATAGAGGGTTTAATCATCCAGACCACCATCACAATCTCCTTGGACATGTAAGACTAATCTTCTTTCTTTCGCAAAGCTAAGTTGTATCATGATGTCATTGATATATAGGCTAATAGGGGGGTTACTTGGAAATGATTATCATTTATTGAAGGGGTCTGTTAATTACCTGACCAGTGTGTGTAAATTGTATAGGCATGGATGCTTTTCAAAGAAGATACAGCTTTGGATGTAGTTGATCCGTTGATTAGGAACTCGAGTTATGCACCCCAATTGCAGAGAATGATTCACATTGGCTTGCTATGTGCTCAGCAACACCCAGATGATAGGCCAAGCATGTCACTCGTTACTGTCATGCTAAGCGGTGACTCTATATTACCCGAACCTAAAGAACCTGGCTTCTTTGTTGGAAGGAATTTGCCACAGGAATCAGTTTCAGGCAACACCCAATCAAGCTCCAATTATGAATCTGTATCATTGCTAGTTGGGCGGTAGAGTGGTGTACTTCAATATAAAATCAAACATAGAATTGCATTTCAATCTTCAACCATGGATATTAAGAAACTACTGGCTTACTGAGATTCCAACGGCTGAAGTAAGTTCTCCGTTTCTTGAAAAAAAAATTAGAAAAACAAAAAAAAAAAAAAAAACAGAAAACCTATGTTATCATGCATTTTTTATTTTGTTGTTCTATTCGGGATAGATAGCTGTATGGAGGACTTGTTCTGAAATCATTTTTATGGAGAACGATGGCTTTTTATAAAATTCCTTTTGCATGTCTTGCAGAGAGGATGAGCTGGAGAAGAATGTGCTTACAGTTAGCTGTTTCAAGGAGAGGAAATAGGTCTTTCTGAGTTTCATTGCACAGGAATCAGGAAAGCTCTTACCCATTAGAAATTTAAGCCAATTTTGTTTATGTACAGCTAGTTTTGGTTTACGTTACTTTCACTGCTTCACTGTACAAATATCAGTTTAGTCTTCGCTAGATGTAAAAGTGATGTGATCAATGATGATGTTTAATTGTAAATAACAAGATTATTTGATCTGATGGCCCTAATTTCTCTGTCATTTATCTGTATCTGAATGAAGTTTTAATGTTTTTTCTACTATTTTTTTTCTTTTCATTTAGACCAAGCTCTAATCCAAGCTGTTTTTTTGCATATAAATATTAAAAAATAGTCCTGTAACTTTAATAATGCTTGCTTATATCAGCTTGAAATTTTGATTGTAGTGAAATAAGTCATCTATAAACATTACATGCTCTGATGAACCATCATGTTTTCACAACGCATTTCAATCGTTTTATTTTATTCAGTCATATAAATGAGGTAAAGTCTACTTGTTTTGTTACCATTTCATATTTTCGTGCACCTGTAGGATTTCATATTTTCAGTCTCATATATCTGTCATAAGTTTTGGTGTACTTTTTTCTTTGCTATTTTTATGATGATGTTGACAATCTTGACTTAGTATACATAAGAAAACTTAATGTTGGATAGGTTTATGAAGCTTATTCAAAAGAAGCGGCTCTGAAAATCTAGTCAATATTGACGCTCTGATGAATATGATATATAACGTTGGGTCAAACCGTTTTACTCATACCTAAAACCTTGTTGCCATCTACATGTATGGGAAATGTTTGGATAACCCTTTTAATTGGCAATCCTCATAGCCATAGGAAAGTTCCTCACAAATGCAGTAAACTTTATTCTGTTGCATTTTTGAAGATTTTTTATTCTCTTTATCTTTCTCACGATGCTTGACAGGTCATTTTCCAAAAACCTCTTGTCCTTTCTTCCGGGAGGGGTGGAGGGACTACTAGTGTAAACATCTAAGGGTTTGTTTGTTGGAAAATCTTGATTATGTCAAATTGTCATAATAGACTAATCTTCTTCAGAGGATTACATTATTAGCTTTAGTTCATTTGCACACTAGGATAATAGTTTCTAACAAATATGCATGTCTGATGTTCTTGAGTTAAGTGGGTTGTGCTAGCCTTCTCTGCTTGCATTAACCATTATGAAAGCAACTGCATACTTTCTTTTGTCATTACTTGTATTTGTAGTTACTACCTCTGTAGCTCGAGACACGTTAACCACAACTCAATCCATTCGGGATGGGGAGACCTTGGTGTCTTCTGGTGGTACCTTTGAGTTGGGATTTTTCACCCCAGGAAGTACTGAGAGAAAATATATTGGAATCTGGTTTAAAAATGTTCCAGATCAGACTGTTGTCTGGGTTGCAAATCGAGAAAGTCCACTTCTTAATTCTTCTGGTGTTTTCCGGGTCACCAACAATTCTCTTCTTGTAGTTGTGAACAATACTGGAAGTGTAATATGGTCTACCAATTCCTCAAGATCAGTGCTGAATCCAATTGCACAACTTCTTGACTCAGGAAACTTTGTTGTCAGAGATGAGAATGACAACAATCCAGATAACTTCTTGTGGCAAAGTTTTGATTATCCTTGTGATTCCCAGCTGCCTGGAATGAAGATAGGAAGGGACCTTGTTACTGGTTTAGATAGGTATTTAACATCCTGGAAAAGCAGTGACGATCCTTCCCCAGGGAGCTATGCCTATCGGTTTGATCCCCAAGGATATCCACAACCATTCCTGTACAGAGATTCTGTTAAGCAATTCCGAGATGGTCCATGGAATGGCTACTGGTTTTCTGGGAATAACTTGTTAGACTCAAATCCTTCAGAGTTATACCAGTTTGTTTTTAATGACAAGGAATTTTACTATGTCTATAACCTTGTCAATTTTTCATTTGTCACCAATAGACTTCTAAACCCGTATGGGACTCTGCAGCGAGTTGAGTGGAACAATCGTACACAAGGATGGGCCACATATTTATCGAAACCCATAGATGGTTGTGACACATATGCAGTTTGTGGCTCATTTGGTATTTGTAATCTAATGGATTCTCCTCAATGTCAGTATGTAAAAGGATTTGTGCCTAAATCTCCAAAAGATTGGGATGGGAGGTTTTGGTCAGATGGGTGTGTTCTGAATACCCCTTTAAATTGTAGCATCAACAATGCTTTCGTAAAGTATTCCAATGTCAAATTGCCTGACACAAGATCCTCTTGGTACAATACAACCATTAGTCTTGAGGAATGCAAGAAATAAGTGCTTGAGAAATTGCTCTTGTGTTGCTTATGCAAATTTGGATGTCACTGATGGAGGAAAGGGCTGCTTGCTTTGGTTTGATGATTTGATTGACGTGCGAGTTCTCTCGGGTGCTGGGCAAGATCTTTATGTAAGGGTGGCATCGTCTGGGTCAGGTGAGAACCTAATTACTGGTTCTTGTTAATATTTCAGTTGGAGAATGTGCTTATACTTGATTTAATTCTTCTTGTTGAAAGAAATCAACGGATAATATCTGTAATGGAGGATATTATGATATTATCTGGTTTTAATAGGAACAAAATCACCTCTTTGCAACATATTGTTATGGAGGATATTCCCTGAGAAATTGTTTGTTTTTTGCATGATAGTAGCATTCCTTTTTTTTTTTTTTTTTTTCTTTTGGGATTCAGCAATTATCCTGATAAAGTTGCTGTTATATAAGTATAAATTTTTTTTTTGTTCTTTTCACTTATGAGATGGATCTAGATGCTAATAATATATAATCTATATATTAGTAAGTGATAAGAAAAATTGTGCTAATCCAGTTGGTGTTATCTTACTCATATTGCTATGAAAGATGTCTTACAATTTCTGTTTTTTCGTTTGATGAAATTCATTTGTTTCCTAGTCAATTTGGAACTGAAGAACTTAGTTTGGTGTATCTGTGTATTGTAGGTGGTGATAAGAAATTATGGATCTGGATTGCAGTAGGCTCCAGTTTGCTCTTGATTCTGATCTTATGTTGCGCTGTGATCTTTATTCGTTGGAGGAGACAGAGGCTCAACAGTGACGGTAACTGATAGGAGTTTGAACTCTTTTCTTGTTCTGTTTTTAATCCATAGTCCCACTACCATAGTGATTATAGAGCTCAATATTTTGTGGTCTTGTAACCATTTTATCATAACTTGGGGTATTCTCCATCTCAATAGGCAGTAGAGAGTTATAAAAGAAAATGGCAGCATATGCCTTAATCGGTTTACCCCCTATGACCCAAAACAGTGGACTGTTATTTTGCGCCAGGGTCTGTTTATGCCTCTTTTCGGAGACTATGTAGTTTCTGTTTTAGGAGTTATGCTTTTAACTTCCAGCGTATATTCTGTAATTTGTATGCCTACTTCCTATTATCAAAAATCTATCTTTCCTACATGATACTCGTACATTGTTAGTGTACCAGGCCACATAAATTTGCGTTGTTCTTTCTTACTGTTCTTCTTTAACAATTCTCACATCCATTACAATTATAACTCACCCCAAAATGGATGGAGTAATATATAAGGGCTAATCAAGGCTGATCTGGTCCAACCAGGTGTAAACATAAGATAAAAAGACTAATCAGGTCTAAAGGACGCACCCTTTAATCTACTTTCGATATACTAATCATTCCTAATTCAGATTTTGGATTCCGCAACTAATTTTTTCACTAGAGGTATTACAGTTAACAAGATTTTGCATGATGTACAAGCAACTACTCATCTACAGTACTTTCAACGTTATTAAAATAAAAAATAAATAAATTAAACAGAATTAAGAAATGTGGGGTAAAATTAAAAAAAAAAAAAAAAAAAAAAAAAAAAAAAAAAAGTACTCCCTCGGTTTCATATAATTCTTTCAACATTCTTATTTCATCCGCTCTTTAAAGTTCTTCCAGCTTTTGAGCATACATATTACGGATTACAATTTCTTATTATTCAGTCTATGTTTTGAGGCTACTTTTCTTATTTAAATTTCCTTTGTCATTGAAAGATAATGACGAATACTTATGAATATACTTCGTAAGACTTTGTCTAGCTTGGTCAGTAGATGACCAGACTGAAGGTGTGAAGTGTTAAAAGGAATTTGAAAACGAAAAAAATTAAGAGAATAAAATCTCCATGCCAGATTTACACTCTCCTATAGAGATGACCAGGTTGTGCTATTTGGACTTCACATGAGCTGCTTATGCATGGTAATGTGACAGATAACTATTATTTATTTATATACTTATTTATTATATATATTATTGACTATTATTAATATTATTTTTATTATATTCATGTATTATTATTAAAACTGGTCTTACAAAGCATAAAGAATGACATAATCTAAAACATATGTGGGTCCTACTAATATGATAGTTTTGGGTCAACGATCATCCAATGACTATGCTCTATAATACTGTGTAAAAGAAGAAACTGTTGACTTTTATATGTTATGTATCTGTTGTGATGAGCATTTAAGCAATTGTGTAAAAAAAAATATTTCATGACTTATCCACAATTTAATTAGTGAATTTTAATATGTATGAGCTTATAGATAAATGTATTCAGTCAAAATCCTTTTTTTCATGAAGGGTTGAACTAAGTGGATCAATAAATTTATTGTTCTATAATGTTGTATTAGCTTTTACATAGTTGCACACCATTAAATTTTAAAAGGAGATGATAACAATATGGTATAGTTCTTATTTGGTTTCTTGTGTCTTTGATCATTACTTGTGTAGCTGTAGATACAATTACTCTTGGTCAATCCATTCGAGATGGAAATATCTCGGAAACATTAGTGTCTGCTGGTGGAAATTTCGAGCTGGGATTTATTTCAGGTACTAATGGAAGGAGATATCTCGGAATTTGGTTCAAAAAAATTCCAATTTCGAATGTTGTTTGGATTGCCAATCGAAAGGCTCCAATATCGGATTCATCTGATGTTCTTCGGCTCACCAACAACTCTGTTCTCATACTTGCCAATGGTTCAGGAGGAGGAGTCTTGTGGTCTACCAATACAACAAGATCAGTAAAGAATCCAATTGCGCAGATTTTGGATGATGGAAACTTTGTTGTAAGAGATCAAAATGATGACAACCCTGATAATTTCTTATGGCAAAGTTTTGACTATCCTTGTGATACTATGCTGCCTGGAATGAAGTTGGGAAGGGATGTTGTTACCGGGTTTGATCGGTTTCTAACAGCGTGGAAAAGTAGTGTGGATCCTTCTCCGGGTAGCTATACATATCAAATGGATCCCCATGGATACCCACAGCCATTTGTTTTTAAAGATTCTTCTATTGAGCTGTTCCGAGATGGTCCATGGAATGGTTACTGGTTCTCTGGGACTCCTTTGTTACCAGATGATACCAGGGCTGAGTTTGTCTTGAATGACAAAGAGATGTACTATACCTATGAGATGGGTGACGTCCCTAGTAGGAGGACTTTGGATATAAATGGCAATATTCTGCGTCTTAATTGGAATAATGTTACTCAAACTTGGGAAACATATCATACAAAACCAAATGATAAGTGTGACCATTATGCAGTCTGTGGCGCATTTGGTATGTGTAGTCTTGTAACTTCTGTTCAATGTCAGTGTCTAAAAGGGTTTGTGCCAAAGTCCCACACTGATTGGTATGAAAGGGAGCAGTTTAGGGATGGGTGCGTTCGCAGTGGCCCATTAAACTGCAGCATTAACAATGGGTTTGTAAAGTATTCTAATGTCAAACTGCCTGATACAAGATCGGCTTGGTATAATATAACCATGACCCTGAAGGAATGCAAGAACAAGTGCTTGCAGAACTGCTCCTGTACAGCTTATGCATCTTTAAACCTCAAAGATCAAGGAAGTGGCTGCTTGCTTTGGTTTGGTTCTTTGATGGATGTAAAAGATCTCAATGGCCCTGGACAAGATCTTTACGTAAGGGCAGCCACTGACTCTGGTAAGAACCTGTTACTAATGCTGTTTCTTAAACCTGTTTTTCTTTCTTTTTCAATTGAAACAAAACAGTACGGATTATATTTATTTTGTTTCTGATAAGAATTTTGCCTATGTTCCTGATGCCGTTTCCCTTTGCAAACATGTCATTTGGTATCATTTTGTGAATTTCATTAGTTAATCTCTTGTAAGTTTTAGAATTTTCTAAAGTGACTATGTTGTTCTTTTTGTAGGTGATGGGAAAAAAGTTATCTGGATAGCAATAGGCTCCAGTTTGTTGGCTGTCCTGCTTATATGTGGCTCAATGATCTTTGTTCTACGGAAGAAAAGGATGAAGGAGAGGAAAAGAAGTCAGTGTGAAATTTTTTCTGTTTCTTTGTATATAAACCACAACCGATTTTAGAAAGTTCATCCAATACTGCAATTTTGAACTGACAATTAATTCTTTGTCACATAACAAGCAAGCTCTGACATATTCTCTAAAAATAAGTAGATGCCACTGTAGAATATAAAAAATAAAAAACTTTTCACCCTGAAGGCTTGAACCCTTGATTATTTTTCCCTTTTATAGTTTTATTGATTTCTTATCTTTTGGTCACAGGATTCTTTAAAACAAAAAAAGTTAAATTAGACAGAAACAACAACAAAGACAAAGAGAAGTCTGAGCTGCCAATATTTGCCTTCAGTGTGGTAGAGCAAGCTACCAATTCCTTCTCACAAAAAAGCAAGCTTGGAGAAGGCGGCTTTGGGCCTGTCTACAAGGTATCAAGTTCAGTAATTTACATTGCACCATAATTCTTTAAGAAGGTGCAGGCACATACAAGTGTACAGAAAAAAATAATGTCAGACACCAATACTAACATGAGGAAAATGGATGATCAATATCTGTTTGGCAAACATCTTTATTGACTGGAATACAAATCTTCTACTAGTATAATTATTTTGTTTTCTTGAGATAGTGTGAATTAGACAGGTTTTACTTTTAATTTGGTGTACAGATTTTGATTGCCCCGTCTTGTACTTCCCAGGGATTGTTGGATACTGGAGAAGAAATAGCAGTGAAAAGGCTTTCAAAAAAATCAAGACAAGGATTGAATGAATTTAAGAATGAGGCTTTATTTATTGCTAGGCTTCAGCATCGCAATCTAGTGAGACTTATTGGATGCTGTGTTGAAGCAGAAGAAAGGATTTTAATCTATGAATACATGCCCAATAGAAGCTTGGACCACTTCATATTTGGTTTGATATTCTCTAGACTTTACATCAATGCTTTTCTTGTTACTTTCATTACAAGTTTTCATCTACTACATGTTGAATAATTTAGTTTTTTCACTAAAAACTTGCAGTGTTTTCCTGGAACTGAAGGCTTTAGATTTAAGCATTGACTTGTATTAGTAAAGAAATCTAGGCATGTTTGAAATCATCTTAGTTTACTGCAGCCATCAATGGCAACACACGATAAATAGAAAAGCTTACAGTTCTGGTATATTTGCAGGTGAAACAAGCAAATCCATATTGGATTGGACAAAGCGTTTTGAGATAATCAAGGGGATTGCTCGTGGTCTACTTTATCTTCATGAAGACTCTAGATTGAGAATTGTTCATCGAGATCTTAAGGCAAGCAATGTATTACTTGATTTTGAGATTAACCTCAAAATTTCAGATTTTGGCCTTGCTAGAAGTTTTGACGGAAATGATTGTGAGGCAATGACTACAAGTGTAGTCGGAACATAGTAATATTCTTAACTCATTTTACACTATTTCACTTTAAGCTTGTTGTGGTTTCTTGTTCATCTGTTAATACCTCCATTTGTTTGTGACAGCGGCTATATGCCTCCTGAATACGTTATAGATGGGGTATTTTCAGTGAAATCTGATGTTTACAGCTTTGGAGTTTTGGTGCTGGAGATTCTTTCTGGCAAGAGAAATAGAGGTTTTAATCATTCAGATCACCAACACAATCTTGTTGGACATGTAAGATCAGTCAACCTTTCGCTTCTATTTTCCTTGACGTTTATAATGAAAATACAGAGCACAGTCTTTCAAGCTTTTTGTCATACAAAATGTGCATTCTTTCTCAGTTGCATTTTCAGGATCAAGACGGGACTGTAGACTTTATGCAACTTTTTTGAAATATTATTTTACACAGGCATCTATTAAAACAAGTTTATCATATGCATCATGCATGTACATTCAATTATAACAAGTCTTTGAAGCTCTTCACAATGAAATTTTATTTATTTCTATAACAATCAGTACTGAACTTTATTCATGGTTTTACAGCCTAAAAAAAATCTGCTTAAATTTTCATCTTCTTCACTGTGGTCCAGCCTTAGCAAAACAATGTTGTTTTTACTGAATTAAACTGGTTTTTACTTAAATGAACTGATTGATGGAACATTTTTTTGTAAGTTCAGAACCACTCTTAACTTGATTTTGCCTATGTTATGTAGACTTGGATGCTTTCCAGAGACATCAAGACTTTGGACATTGTGGAACCATTAATTCGGAACCCAAAATACGAATATGAAATGCAACGATCAATACACTTAGGCTTGTTGTGCGTTCAACAGCATCCAGAAGACAGGCCGAGCATGTCTTTCGTGACAGCCATGTTAAGTGGAGATGGCAAATTGCCAGAACCTAAAGAACCTGGCTTTTACTTTGAAAGGAATATGCCGCAATATTCTGTTTCAAGCACCCCCCATCCAAGCACCCATAATGAAATTACTGTGACTTTGTTTTCTGGAAGGTAGAGTTAATCTTAATCATAATCATATTGTTAAGCTGGAGTGACCCTGCTAAATACTTGGTTTTTTACTGGTTATTTAAGCTTCGAGAAATTAATTATGTATAAATGTGGTGATACTAATGACTAATGATTAATGATTACAGTTGATTGCTCAAGAGCTAAGACAGGACATAAAATGTAAAGATTTCTACCATAATACTTAGAATTACAAGATGGCTCATGCACAACCTCCAATCGACAAAAGGCTTGTTGCGACCATAGTGGTAAGATAGGAAGGAGAGAATAATCATTGTTTTATCAACACAAACTTCATGAAAGACATTTGAAGGGTGGTTTGGTATGTAAATTGGAATTGAAATCGAAAACCCCTAAAACCCTAATTGGTTCCTTCTAACAAAGAATTTCAATCAAACCTTTATGGGGTCAAGACTTCAAGTCAGTCCCAGTAGATTCAAACACTTCCAAATATATTAGAATAAAAGAAATTTTAAAAGAGAACAAAGGATAAAAATACATTTTTTTTTCCTAAAAGGAAACACAATGGAATTAGAGCAGACTTCTCCCGATACTATACCCTAGTATAATGTATACATGACAAGCACTGCAGCAAATTTATCATGTTCTCTCTGTATTTTACAGCTTTTTGTCAATAGCTAAAAATTTTAATTCAACACAAATAGAAGTAATTCTCCTGTAACAGCTGTGGTCGCTATGATTCCTCAGTAATATGCTTTGCGCGGGTTATTCTACAAAGATGAAAACGGACAACATGAGCTACAATATTAACAAAAATAATCTTCGACACAGTAATACTATAATAAAAGACATTGTTAAAAGGAAATGGATAAATGAAGTGTCGCCAGAACATAAGAGAGGGCTATACCAGGGGATTTGGTCTGTGACGATATCCCAGCATCATGCGCTTCTTGTACTGCTCGTATATATCATCTTCAGGAGTCACCTCACCAGGTTGCTGGGCACCAACACCTAGATGGTCTTTCTTTACATTACCTGCTGAAATAGGATCAGCAATGCCTTTCCTTGAACTGCCCAGGCCCTCACCTGCAAAATAAAAATCAAGGTAAGAACACTAATTACCAAATTATTTAATAGTTTTCTGTTGGTAAACCAAGTCCAAAACCAATCGTCAGGTATCTACAACAGCAAGACAGCTTTTAAGGAAAATAACAGTCGGTTAGGATCTTGTTAGATTCGTCTCTATTACTTAGAGGCATAGGGCGCACCTTTCACAAGGAGAGAGTGTCTACTTTACAAATCCAAATAGGTTTTATCCCAAAACCATACGGCGATAAGAAGAGTAACCCCTGAGTCTTATAAAGATCAACTATCTCATCTTTTAACAATGTGGGACACATGGTTGGAAAGGCTATACATCAACATTTCCCCTCACATATAAGGTATAAGGTCCATTTATTTCCGTAATTCCGTCACATGTGATGCTTCATGGGCCACTAGCTGCCCAGGATTTATAATTCAAGAAAACTCTACTACTACTGGAAAAAAGTCCAACTTTTGAATAACATGCACGAATGTTAGTTATGCTTCAGCAACAAAATGCACAGAAAAAAGACGTTCAGCATAAGTGAAATTACGACATGCATATGACCATATAAGCTTCAAGCTGGTCAGCACAACAGATGAATCATGTCCAGACAATAAATACCACTCAGAGTGAATTCAAGTGTAAGGCAAAAGCTCTGGAATGGTCCAGATGTACACTGACTCGCCCATAACCACTAACCAGTCACTTTAATTTGGCCATATGAGACATTCCATTTCAAATCAATACATTAATCAAATTATGTAAATCAATACATTAATCAAATTATATACAATATAAATGTAAGCAAAATAATCCTCAGGACTTCATATTGCAAGTGAGAGTAGAAAACACACCTTCTTTCCATCCCATTTTTGACAAAAGCTTATGCCCAACATTATCTGCTTGAATTTTTGCCTTGTCAGCAGCCTCCTTGGCTGCTTTTTGTGCAGCTGCATCATTACATTTAGCCAAAAATCCCTCTAGCTCTTCTGGTGGTATGTAGTCTCCCATGTGATGCCCTCTCTTTCCAGCAGCTGCCATGGCAAATTCAAAGGTAAGCAACAGAATTTAACTGAACCTGTTGGAAGTGTTGCTGCTATTGATTCTTCAAATCCTCGATTTCATTGCAGGTTCTAACATGCATCCTAAAATTGCTTAAGCCTAACATATCACAGAAACAATTTTGCAAGTTTCCACACCCCAAACCAGGCTGAAGCTAGAAAGGAGGGAGAGATTTCAAGCATCAAACTATCAAAGTGAAACTTAAGATTAAGAACAGCCCCACCCACAAAAACAAGTATTGAAGCTACCATAAGCAAGTCTAGAAAAACACCAATATGATCATCGTTGAGACTTGAGATTGAGGCTATTTCAAAAAAATTTAAAAAAAAAAAAAAAACCCAAAAATAATTTCTAGAAGATTAGTGAAAGAAAAAAGTAGTAATCAGACTAATTTTCTAAACCCATATATATATTATATTTTTTTTGGTTAAAAATCCATATTATATTTACTCCCTCTATTTTATTTTATTCATTTTTTGGGAAGGGAGGGGAGGATCTGTCCACTTACTTAAGGTAAGTGGGTGTAAGAAAAGTTGGATATATAGGGCGGAGTATAGAAAGTATGTAAAAATAATAAAATATGTAGTATATATTAAAAATAAATATTTAAATAAAAAATAAAAAAGGCGAATGCTTATTTTCTTCAAGACAGCCAAAAATTTACCTTGAACTTGAAGGGAAGCTGGAGGAGGCATCTCATCTCGTGATTGTTTAGGTGGTCTTTTCTTCTCTTCAGCTGCTGCTTTCTTCATGTAATACTCCATCATAGCTATAGGATCTGATCCAGAAAATGATGAGCTTGATTCCCCTGCATAATAGAATCTTATAAATACTATAATCCTCAACCAAGAAGAAGCAGAAATGAAGAATTCATAGACATAAGCAAATTGCATTCATTCCATGTATAAAAATTCACACATCAGGATACAGCAGAAGACAAGGCACATAACAATGCCAATTTCTAACACTGAGAAAAATCATATCATAGGAATTGCTAGGATACAAGCCCTTGTACATCCTAGGACCCTTCACTAGTTGCATGCTTCAAGAAACAAGGAAGAAAAATCAGCACTATCAGCAAATTGATGGAAGATAGGCCAACAGAGTTTGATCAATACATCCATAAAAAGACATTACTTAACGGGAATATTAATTGGCACTAAAAAAACCACAACACAAGAAAAAGGCATGATGATTAGAAAAATTAAATGCCACAAAAAGGAGGGTATATTGGAAAGATAAATTCCAGAAAAAGCATCACAGAAAGGCTAGTATATCATGTAGCTCCATGTAAAGTAGTTTGCTATTGCTTGATATTGCAACGAACCAAGGAGTTGGCATGCCACGTAGGCTGATCACATATACAAGGAGGGGAAGAATGAACCAAACAGCAGTAGCACATCACAGCCCACCAAATTACCACACATAGGACAGGGGAGTTGTTGGGATCCTCTGTCAGCTTTGTACATATAAAAAGGGGAGAAGGGGCAATGGGATAGGTAGCTAATTTCTTGTGTAATTCAGTAATCCTTGAAGTTTGTGACCTAAAGTCACAGCCCTAGAGACTGGTGGCCTGAAGTCTAAGAGCCATTTTTGCTTGAATGAAACCCATCCCTTCTTCCTCAGTTTTCTTGTGTCTTTAAAGTTTGCATCTTTATTGATTGCTGTCTTATTTTCCGGTGAGTAAGAATCCAGTTCATTACAGATATAAAGTAAATTTCCACAATTGGAGACAATATACTGCAATAATCATTCAAACTTTCTATAAAGACATAGTAAACATAGAGAAAAACATGATGGACCAAGTATTTTCTCACCGCTTCTTGCAGATGTAGCCTCAAATGAACTGGCTTCATTTACGTCATACAAAGCAGAAGCAGGTGTATGATAATTTAACTGCGGATTACTTTCCATTCGAGGAACAATGCTTGCTGAAGCAGTCTTATCACCTGTAGATGCAATTTTCATGGGATAAATACTAGCTCCATGGAGAATTCAAAATCTTCTCATAATTACAAATAATGCAACATCATGGCAAAAAACCTTCCATAGGTAGTGAACAAAGAAATGATTTGGTCATTAAATTAGCAAAGAAAAACAAAATATTTTTTTTTACTGGATGTTACAGCCAGGAAAGCTGGGAGAAAAAAAAAAAAAAAAAAAAAAAAAAAAAAAAAAAAAAAAAACCCACCTATTTCAATATAATAGAGAAGCTTAGATAAGAATGTAACATAAATCTACAGTGACCCCATGGAGCATTTTAATTTTATATCCAAGTCCAAAATTCCACACAATAGTGGCAATCACACATACCCAACATTAAATTAAAGCATACCTATCATCAAATGTCTAAGAATGAAATTCTTCAATGTAATATAAGGTTCTCAAATTCATCTCCTTCAGTTATGAGTTCTTCAAGGTGTAGTTCAAACAATAAAGAGAAAAAGAATAGCAGGTGTGTGACAATAAAAGTAGAAGTACTAAAAGCTTTCACAATAGTCAATGAGAAGATTAGAGGAAAAGCATACTACGCACATGCCACCTTATAACCTACACTGAAATTGTAGAGGATATTTATTTTAAATATTGTAAATATAAAGTAAATAGGACACTACAGGGATGTGAAAATTGGACCCACATCACGATCCCTCTCCCCAGCAAAACCACAAGCATTCGTTATGAAATCATACCTAATCTTATCCAGGAAAACTAGATTTAAAAAATAAAAAAAAATCATATTCAAGTTAGTGCTGCTTTGCATGACTAAGCTTTCCCTTCAAAATATATCATACCCTATCCCTCCATCAGGCCAACCCACCAAACAGCCTGAAGAACTAGCTTCCATATTTTCAGTATGCACTTCTCTTTCCAACTCCTCTTCTAGACTACCAGATCATACTTCGAGTTACTCTGTTGACTAAGCTTATTCCAAACAAATATACTCAAGTGCCCCAAAGAAAGTACTGAAAGTTCCAAAGTCAGACTAACATAAGAGCATAGGCTGAAGAAAACATCTATGCAACACAGACAGAAATGGAGTACTGGAGCCTATTATTCCCTCACCAAACTGTGCAGCTCACATTCACATATCACTAGTTAAGGTAAAGGCCTTCAAGTTCATAACAGTACAGAACGATCATAGGAAATTAGGTACAGATGACTAGATGAAAACTAAAATGAAAACAATAGTAATTTATCCTACTTGATCAGAAAGAGAAATGTTATGTTTCCAATTCCAAATAGTATTTAGTTTAAACACTCAACAAAACATTCTAGGATGATGTTAATTATCCAAAAAAAAGAATTGGGAACCAACCACTATGTGTAGTCTGTAATTCCTTGCTCAGAGCTAGTGCTTTCTCCTCTTCCTGAATACGATACTCATAGTACTTGAATTCAGTACAGGCTTCATCAAAGAGAAATCTGAAGAACAAACATGATTAGGGATGGTATGAGCCAGACAACCAATAACTCACATATCTCAATGCAGGAAAGTATACACAGCTTCCCATAAAAGATCTAAATCCAGCAAAAGAAACTAACATTCGGAAATTAGACATCAACAGGCCCCATAATGCAAATCAAGAAAGCAAAAATCTTAACAAGTTATGCAAAACATCAAAAATAAATCAAAGGCCTAAAAATATCCTTCCTAATGTATAAAGGTAACTATATTATCCTTTATAAAACTTCTCTTATAATTACCACTTAATGTACACTAAAAATTATAACAGGTTAGAAGTTACCCTTCAGAAGCTAAAAAGTTACTAAAAATGGCCGATGAAAAGTAAATTCCAGGTGTACCTAAAAGTGGCTTATAGTTATATTGCCATACTGATTATAGAAAAAATCCAATATAAAATATTTAAGCACCCAGGAGGCAAATTATAGCTAATATAGTGGTAATAGCTTTTATTTAATAAGATTACTCATGAATCACGATCCTTCTCCTTTTAAAAAAATACCAATATGCATACATAACATGTACACATACCCGTAATGCCTTAAAACATAAATGTTACTATGGCAAGATAAATGTCTCAAAAATTGTGTTTACATCTACTAAAATTAATATTGTACCTGATTTTACAATATCATCCATTACCCAAGGAGAACAGCCCAGATTTAATACTTATTTTGAGAGGAGTGTGCAATCAACTGCCTAGGTCCACTACACATAAATGGGCCCAGTGTAGCATAACTTTCTAGTGTCTAAGATGGGAAACAGTAAGAAAGACTACACTCAAGAAGGGTTCCCTTAAGTTCGTTATATTAAAGACTTGAATGGCTTGAGTGGCTTCAACCAGATAGGAGTTGACAGACTACGTACCTAAAAGGAGTATTTCCGGGATTTTTCTGACGAGTGATATCCTCAATTTGCCTTCCTTTCTTAGCCACAAAACTTGCTAGCCTGTCTGCAGCTTTCTTCACTGCAGGATCACTTGGGGAAGGAGGTGCTGCATGTCACTTAAAGAACTGATTAATACCAAGGGCATGAACAACGCAATGCAAATTACTCTTGTAGCAGGCCTGCCACATTTCCAAATCGTTCATTGAACATCTCTTTCCCCATGGTTGAAAGAGACATAAGAGGTAAGCTGCATTCATGAGACAACACACTTGATAATGAATAGTCCTATGTATTGGCTATACAAACAGAGAAGCTTGTCCACGACTTCCTTAGGAACAACACATCAAAAAAAAAGGGGGGAAAAGTCATAGACCTGAAAGCAATATTAAAGTTGGAAAAAATGGTTGAAACAATATATTTATCTGAATGCACCCTCTCAATTCCTATACCTTCCACCAGTCATGTTAAAGCATGAAAACCTTTGAACTTCTAAGTTAAATTAGTTCCCAAAACAAAACATGGCGAACCTTACGTCACCTCTTCTTTCAAACCAATAATAGATAAGTATTTATTTGGTAACAATACATAGATGTTAACTAACTCTTGTACAACCTGAACCCTATGAGGAAAACCACAAAAATATTGAAAAAAATCTCAACTGGACAGTACTATAATATAATGTTTTTAATGGATGAGAACTATTACCATCAAGGACAAACATTCCCCAAGGTATTATGTGCATATATAATAGTACATAGACAACTTGCCAGAAATTATTGGTTCTCCTTTAATGCCAACTGCTGATTATATGTCATGCCAACTACAGAAGATTAAAAGAATGCCCATGCAGCAATGCAAACAATATAAGGAACTACACTTACTTGGCATGTAAGGGTCGATAAAGCCATAAGAGTAAATACTAGCAAAGACACACATAAACATCACATACAGAAATGAAAAATAATATAGAAGAAAGGCACCCACTTATTGAATCAAGTATAAACTAAAATTGAGATATGTGTATACAGACAGGCATTACCAACATCAAATTTTCTGGATGACACAACAGAAGCTTCTGATTGACCCAATTTCTGCCGTTTTGCATAAACTCCATCTGATCCATTATCTGTCCCAGCATCATCTTCATCATCATCTTCACTTAACTTTACAGAAGGAACCACAAGTTTTGATTTTTGTTTCAAGCTAAACGCAAGCTTGCCACCTGAAGCAGCTGAAGTAGTTTTCCTCTGATTATTATGCTTAGTTTCCGATCCAATTTTAATACTACCGGTATTTGGAGTTGAGTCCCTAGGTAAATTTGTTTTTGGTCCACGGTCCTCAACTACAGCACCCTTTTCCTTGTCTTGATGAAGCTGTTTAAACTTCTCCATAAATGAGCCATCATTAACAAATAAGGTAGGAGGCACACCTTTATCCATTAGAAAACCCACTTCCTCTTGATCTGATAAAAGGACTACAACCATTCGTTAAGTTCACTCAGCTCAATCAACACTTAAGCCGATTCAGGGATATATACTTAGAAATGTACAGAGAGCATCAATTTTTAACTAAATAAAATAAATTTGTGCTACTACGATTTGCCTGTCATTCTGTCAATAACCAAACAAGCCGATTCAAGAACATTCATATCAAAATAAAAATATATCGCCCTTCTCACTTCCTCAATAAAAATATAACCATGTAATCATAAAGATTACAAAAAGCAGCCAAAGTCGGGGCAAAAGCTTAAACAGTCAGCCAAACACAATCATGATTATAAAGTAGTACCAAGTATATACGAACAAATCAATTGCTTTTATAATCATCAATCCTTTGATCTTTTCAATGAAACCATTATTTCATTAAGATAACTACTTCCCAGAACATAATTGTTCGCAAATCTCACCACACAAGATTGAAAGCACGAAATGGGCAAAAATAAAATTAAAAAACAATCCAAAAACTTGAATTACTAATAAAAATCAATCAATCAATTATTGCTAAAAAAGACAAAACCCTAGAATTAAACTCCCCCCCCCCCCAACAAAAACGAAAAGTAAAATCAAATACATAATCAAACAATAAGGAATAACATCAAATCGATCCAAAAATAATGATTCAATTGAGCTGTTTGAAGAATTGAATCGCAAAATAAAAAGTGGTTCGATTTTAGCCCCAATCTTAACCGCCGTGATATGAAGAATTCATCGTCAAAATCGAAAATTGAAGCGAATTTAAATCTGATTAGAATCGAAAAGAAATACCTAATTGTTTGATAAGGGGATGATCGCCAAAATTGCAGGTAGCGAGCGATTAGAGAGCAGGACTCCGAGAGGGAGAATGAATGAGGATCAGTGAAATCCAAGGTGGGTCGTTTTTATTTTTCTTTGCTGTTAGAATACGGAGTAATGGAGTATAAAAAGTACTCTCTCCGTAATAAAAAATTATAAAAAAGAAAAATAGTTGAAAGAATTAGAGGAGAGTAAATATGAAATTAATAAAATATAATTTATATTGGGTCAATTAGTTGAGAGAAATTAATTAAATATTGTAAAAGCTTTTTAAATAAGGAAATGGAGCAAGTATTTAAAAACAGCCGGAAATATAAAGTGGAGCAAGTATTTAAGGAGGGAGTAATAGAGTATAAAAATACAAAGTGAAAAATATACGTAGTATTCGGTAGTTAAGTTTAATTAACAAGAAATATAGGAAAAAATTGACACTAGCCGTCCCGATTATGATCGGTGTTAAAAGGTTTTACATATCGATTTACTCATGGTGGTCCAAAATTTAGGAGATTCATTTTCAAAATGGTGTCTTACATATTTTTTACTGAATGGCTAAACGCCCTGTTTGTTGGACTGTTTTAAGAGGAACCTCCGAAGTTGAAACTGCTATGAGCTTGGACCTTTTAAAGAAGAATGTCCATAATTAAGACTGGTAGCGTCAATTTTTCCAAAATATAACAAGTATTATTTAAATTGGGTCTCATTAGAACTGACTCGATTTATATTTTCCTAATCAATCTTTTTAAAAAAATTTCAATCACACTACTATTAAATATATTTTATAATTGTGCGTAGCAAACATGTACAACTTGTTAAACAACTAAAAAGCAAAGGAAGTAATATCATTTTGCATTTGCTTTTGGAGCTATTAAAACGTTGCCCAAATTTTGCGTACATAATGCCCACATCTATTAACTATTACTAAAATAAAACATTGCTGACATCATTAACTCTCAAATTATCCTACGTGACATTCTCACATTAAAAATATTCCCTCCAATTTAATTTCTCTCTTAAATTATAGTTTCACATACCTAATTTGTTTGATCTATGATTGTGGTTTCAATTTTATTTACTTTCCTTAAATGTAAATCATTTATAAATTCTAATTTTCATATACAATAATGTGATGCAACTGAACATACATTAGAACATTACAAGATATATTAATTCTAACCGTGCATCGTACGGGAATAACCTAGTTTTATATTAAAAGGAAAAACCTACCCTCACATATACTACTCCATTATTTTCACCCCTTTAAATCACTGAAAACAATCTTACTCCTCCCAAAAAAACCACCACTAGCTTGTTTGCATATTGGTGGTCTTTAGAGTTATACTAGAATACTCGTAGACTCGTAGTGGAAGCAAGGTGAACAAATACCTTAGCTTAAAAAAAAAAAAAAATCTTAACAGAATCTTGTTATTATTCAACAGCAACCAGATGAAATTAAATAACGTTAACAAGTCCAATGAAGGGAGGAAGCTCGCTAAAGTCTAATGAAAACAAAACTTATACTGATTACTCATAGAATCACCGCATCAACGCCTCCTCGAATTTGCTTGGCAAGCAGCTCCGCCTGTCCTCTCGCATAAGGTATTTTATCAATGTATTCAATGTCATACCATTTATGTATATTCGTCATTGACCAAGGACAATGAGGGTCACAAATAATCTTGTTAAGCATGGTGCATTTTTGATGCATATCCAAGGCATCAATATTATCATTTTATTATTTTTATTTATTTTTATTGAGTCGTCTATTAATCGTGAGGTTGAGTGGCGTCAATCCTAAAGTTACGCGTGATTAATCGAATTAGAGTTGGAGTAGAATTAGGGGCCATTTGGTTGGGGGTATTCAACAAAGGGAATGGGAATCGGCGGAAATCATTCCCTTTGTTGTTGTTTGTTAGGCCACTTTTCCAATCCCCTTTACCCCCTTCATTCCCTCAAATCCCTCTAAGTTCATTTCCCACCCCCCTAGCCTTTTCCATTCCCTTTCCTTAGCCAGCATTACACCACTGTGCCTACACTGCCACCACCCTTCTACCCTACCCCCACCGCTCAACCACCACCCAGCCACCTCACCGCTTTTCCCCCTGCCATCGTCGTCCCTTCTCCGCCACTCGCTGACCTCCGGTAAGCTCACACTTCACTCGAAAATCTTCCCCAACCCCTCGTCGGAACTCACTGCCCGTGTTTGCACCTCCCTCACCCCTTGCCGGAGGTTGTCACACCTCCCCCATCCCTCAAAAATCACCCAACAACACCGGAAATGCCAACTCTTACCCAGAAACCCCACCCAGCCCCTCCTCCGATCACCCATCCGGCCACCTTCCTTGTTCTTGAAACCCCAATTCGAAACCTAGAGAAAGCCCTAACCCAGAAATGAGAGATGAAGATCCATGGAAACCAATTTGGGCTAGATGATTTAGGGTTTGCGAAAACGAATCTCAGGGACTCACAAATCGATTTCAGGGAAAACGATTGAAGAACGAAATTTTCAGGGAGAACGAATCGAAGAACGATTTTCAGATGAATTTAGGGGGAACGAAATTTCAAGGACTAAGAAAATCGATTGAAGAACGACATTTGTGTGTGGTGGTGTTGGTGGTGGTGCTATATTTTTAAAACTAACAACACACTACATGGAATGGTTTTTCATTCCATTCTCTTTCATTCCCTTTGTTCATTCCATTCTGATTCCCCTGCGCGAACCAAACGGCCCCTTAGTAGTTTGATAAGATATTATTTTTTAATATTATTAAAAGATAAATTTTGTTATTAAGGATTAGAATTTAGTATTTATATTTTATATATTTTATTTTATCTTTTAGTTATCCTAACGGCATGTGATGTTTGCCTCTAAATTTCTTTATTTTCATTAATGAAGGCAGAGAAGTTTTGAATTATAATTGATCAATTCGTATGAATTGTTTTAGCAAGAGAATTGTATATGATATTTTGCTGAGAAAGCTACCAATTTAGTTGTTATTTAGTCTTGGTTAGATTAAATAGCTTCATATCCCCGAATTTCCTTAAGTGCCCATAAAAATACGCATCAATTTTCGGTGAGACAAAATGCAAGGTCAGCAAGACGTGCACTTCCATCGAATCCAACAAGCTCCAACACCTTAAGTTGGTTATGTTGTTGCATTGCGTGATTAATCGGAACATCCCTTCGAGCTGCCATTGGCACTGCTTGTCGTCTACAAGGCCACAACTGCAAAACCAGCTTAAATTTGTAAGTATAATTTTAGGGAATTTAAATAAAAAGTGTGCATTAACGAGACCATAACCGTACCTCCAACTTGAAGGTGTGCAACAAGGAGCATGCCTCATTGAAAGAGGTCAAATCGAGAAAGTTGTCTTCAGCAGGGGAATTTGAATATGCACCTGGAGTAATACAACTTATTTCCTGTAAACAAAATTAGAAGACAAACACAAAGATAGTTAAGTTCAATTGTTGCAATATACAAGAAGGATGAAATAATAATGAGAGGCCGTTTGGTTGGGGGTATTCAACAAAGGGAATGGGAATCGACGGGAATCATTCCCTTTTTTGTTGTTTGTTAGGCCATTTTTCCAATCCCCTTTACCCCCTTCATTCCCTCAAATCCCTCTAAGTTCATTCCCCACCCCCCTAGCCTTTTCCATTCCCTTTCCTTAGCGAGAATTACACCACCGTGCCTACACCAGCCACCACCCTTCTACCCTACCCCCACCGCTCAACCACCACCCAGCCACCTCACCGCTTTTCCCCCGGCCATAGCCGTCCCTTTTCCGCCTCTCGCCGACCTCTGGTAAGCTTGCACCACACTCGAAAATATTCCCCAACCCCTCGTCGGAACTCACTGCCCCTGTTTGCACCTCCCTCACCCCCTTGCCGGAGGTTGTCACACCTCCCCCGTCCTTCAAAAACCTTCCCCGACCACTCGTCGGCCATCGGCGCTGTTTCGATTGAGCAAAGTTCGAATAGAAGAAAAACGAGAATTTGTTGGATTTCTTAATTGGGTTTTTCTGGGATTTGGAGGGTATTGATGATGAATAGTTGACGGCAATGGCTGGTTCAGAGGAGAGGGAAGGGTGAAATGGATTAGGGGAAGGTTTTCCGGGGAGGGGGAGATATTTTCGGGGGAGGAGAGGTG